GGTGGGCATTGGGCACAGCTGGCACTGGATGCTTTGGAGGGATTTTCAGCCTCAGGGACTCTGGGATTCCCTCACTTCCCAGTAAAGCCAGATTGCAGCTCTGGGCTCAGCCTCATCCTCTGCCACCTGCACTTCTGCTCCTGGGAGTTGCAGTGAGCTGAAATCTGCTTTCAGCTCATCCTGGGCATCTCTAACCCACAAATGGAGGATTAGAAATGGTTCCTGTGTGGAGACAGAACCTGTGCAGGGTGAGGGGGAAGTGTAATCCCCTCTGATGGCTGCAGCAAAGCAGCAGACTGCAAAATCCTCCTTCCAGTCACAATAATCCCATTATTGGCCTGCTGTTTGCAACACTCATTTCCAAGTTCCTTTGCTCCTGCTGGGAATTTTAACCTGGTGCAGGGCTCTGAGATGCTGCAGATGGCACCCCTGCAGCTGTGGCTGTGCAGGTGCAGTGAATGGGCAGTGAAGCCCGTTTTTCATAGGTGGGGCTGCTTTGATTGTAATTACAAGCCCAATTAGCAGCACAGCAGTTCAGCAGCTGCCCCAGGGGCTGGCTCTGGGCTTGGCAGGGCTGCCCACCTTTGCCAGGGTGGCAGAGCAGCTGGGAAAGCCCTGGCATGTGCAGAGCAGGGAGAGGGGGCTGTCTCTCATAGAATGGTTCTGAGTTCTGTCCAATGGAATGGTTTTGGGTTCTGCCCAATATTTCAGGGAATTATTTTGAGTTCTGACCATTCTATCATGGAATGGTTTTGAGTTCTGTCCAATGGAATGGTTCTGAGTTCTGTCCAGTCTGTCATAGAATAGTTTTGGGTTCTGCCCAATATTTCAGGGAATGGTTTTGGGTTCTGTCCAATCTCTCATGGAATGGTTCTGTCCAATATTTCATGGAATGGTTCTGAGCTCTGTTCAATATTTCATGGAATGGTTCTGAGCTCTGTTCAGTATTTCATGGAATTATTTTGAGTTCTGACCATTCTATCATGGAGTCGTTTCGAGTTCTGTCCAATGGAATAGTTTTGAGTTCTGTCCAGTATTTCATGGAATGATTTTGAGTTCTGTCCAGTCTCTCATGGAATGGTTCTCAGTTCTGTCCAGTATTTCATGGAATGGTTCTGAGCTCTGTCCAAACTCTCATGGAATAGTTTTGAGTTCTGCCCAGTCTCTCATGGAATGGTTCTGAGTTCTGTCCAATGGAATGGTTCTGAGTTCTGCCCAGTCTCTCATGGAATGGTTCTGAGTTCTGTCCAATGGAATAGTTTTGAGTTCTGTCCAATATTTCATGGAATGGTTTTGGGTTCTGTCCAGTGGAATGGTTCTGAGTTCTGTCCAGTCTCTCATGGAATGGTTCTGTCCAATATTTCATGGAATGGTTCTCAGTTCTGTCCAATATTTCATGGAATGATTTTGAGTTCTGACCATTCTATCATGGAATAGTTTTGAGTTCTGTCCAATGGAATGGTTCTGAGTTCTGTCCAATGGAATAGTTTTGAGTTCTGTCCAATATTTCATGGAATGGTTTTGGGTTCTGTCCAATGGAATAGTTTTGAGTTCTGCCCAGTCTCTCATGGAATGGTTTTGGGTTCTGTCCAATGGAATGGTTCTGAGTTCTGTCCAATATTTCATGGAATGATTTTGAGTTGTGTCCAATGGAATGGTTCTGAGTTCTGCCCAGTCTCTCACGGAAAGGTTCTGAGCTCCCTTTGGAGGGCGTTGGCGTTCAGGGAGGTTCAGGCTTTCTCCTTCATCCTGCTCTCACGTGCCTGCATCTGATTCTGCATCAGAAGCAGAAGAACCATTGGGTCTTTTTCTGTCTCTGGTAACCCTGGGGTTGTGTTTTCCCATGGCATGTTTATGGAAAGAGGGAAATTCAGATTGTGCAGCCCCAGTNTCCCTGCCATGGCCCTGGATGGGCTTTGGGGCCCCTTCCCACCCAAACCAGCCCATGGTTCTGTGAAAGTCAGGATTTAACAGCATTAAAAAGAGATTTTCCAGGATGGGGCCATCAGCTGGAGCCTCCAGAGCTGCATGCAGGGATTTGTTGTGGGAGCAGGGAGGTGCTGCAGCTCAGCATGGCCTGGCAGAGCCTTTCCAGGAGAGCTGGACTGGGATAAACTGGGAATCCCTGAGGGGACTGGGGTAACCTGGGATCCCTGAGGGGACTGGGATAACCTGGGGATCCCTGAGGGAATGAGGGGACTGGGATAAACTGAGAATCCCTGAGGGGACTGGAATAAGCTGGGGATCCCTGAGGGGACTGGGATAAGCTGGGGATGGATCCCTGAGGGAATGAGGGGACTGGGATAACCTGGGAGTCCCTGAGGGAATGAAGGGATTGGGATAAGCTGGGGATCCCTGAGGGGCCTAGGGTAACCTGGGATCCCTGAGAGAATGAGGGGATTGGTATAAACTGGGAATCGAATCCCTGAGAGAATGAGGGGATTGGTATAAACTGGGAATCGAATCCCTGAGAGAATGAGGGGGCTGGGATAAACTGGGAATCCCTGAGAGAATGGGATAAGCTGGGGATCCCTGAGGGGACTGGGGTAACCTGGGATCCCTGAGGGTCTGGGATAACCTGGGAGTCCCTGAGGGAATGAAGGGATTGGGATAACCTGGGGGTCCCTGAGGGGACTGGGGTGACCTGGGATCCCTGAGGGAATGAGGGGACTGGCATAACTTGGGGATCCCCTAGGGAATGAAGGGACTGGGATAAACCTGGGGGTCCCTGAGGGAACTGGGATAAGATGGGGATCCCTGAGGGAATGAGGGGAATGGGATAAACCTGGGTATCCCTGAGAGAATGGGATAACCTGGGGATCCCTGAGGGAATGGGATAACCTGGGGATCCCTGAGGGAATGGGATAACCTGGGGATCCCTGAGGGAATGAGGGGACTGGGATAACCTGGGGATCCCTGAGGGAATGGGATAACCTGGGGATCCCTGAGGGAATGAGGGGACTGGGATAANTTTGGGTGGTATTTTGTACCTGGACAGAAAAGCCCACCCTGCGAACTTTGAGGGATCAGTTATTCAGTTAAAAGTGAAAGTAATTTCTTAATTAGATAATTTAGCCTTAAAAGACCTTGTACAAGAGATAGTTGGTCATTTTGTGCCTTGTTAGTGAAGAACTGCAGAACTCACTGCTGTGAGACTGTAACATAAATAAAAAGAATAAATACCTAAAATAGAGGTTTTGGTGCAGTTAAATGTAAATTCAGAATACAAAGGAATAACTGCCATTAAATGAAAATTTAGTGTAAAATTAAATGTAAAATCAGATGTAAAATCAGAATGCAAAGGAATAACTTCCTCTCAATCTCCTCTTTCTTGCCAGGTCCTGGAGAAATATCCCAACACACCCATGAGCCATAAAGAGATCCTTCAAGTTATCCAGAAAGAAGGACTTAAGGAAATCAGGTGAGTTGAGTAAAGCAGGAAAACCCTCTGGTGCTCTGCTTCCAGCTTGGTGTTAACCAGTTTGCTGTGAACTCCCAGCTCCTGAGGAGTTTTGGGGCTGAAATATTCCAGGTTTGGAGTCTGGGTCCTGTTTGTAAACAGCTCCCAAGTGCTTTTCCCCACTGAGCTGGGTAAGAGCATCTCTGATTCCCAGGTGTGCAGGGCTTGGCTGCAGCTCCTTTGTAGGATAAAATAAAGGACCTGGCTGCAGCTCCTTTATAGGATATAAGGATTAAAAAAAAAAGAACTTGGCTGCAGGTCCTTTATAGGGTAAAATAAAGGACCTGGCTGCAGCTCCTTTATAGGATAAAATAAAGGACCTGGCTGCAGCTCCTGTACAGGATAAAATAAAGGACCTGGCTGCAGCTCCTTTATAGAAAATAAAAAAAGGGCTTGGCTGCAGCTCCTTTNGTCAGTGGGCAGCACACCATGGGAAATGGTGACACGGTGACAGTGGTGACAGTGGGAAAGGGTGACATTGGGACAGTGGGAAATGGTGACACTGTGACAGTGGTGACAGTGGGAAAGGGTGACATTGGGACAGTGGTGACAGTGGGAAAGGGTGACACTGTGACAATGGGAAATGGTGACACGGTGACAGTGGTGACAGTGGGAAATGGTGACACGGTGACAGTGGTGACAATGGGAAAGGGTGACACTGTGACAGTGGGAAATGGTGACACTGTGACAGTGGTGACAGTGGGAAAGGGTGACACTGTGACAGTGGTGACAGTGGGAAATGGTGACATGGTGACAATGGGAAATGGTGACACAGTGACAGTGGTGACAATGGGAAATGGTGACACGGTGACAATGGGAAATGGTGACGCTGTAACAGTGGTGACAGTGGGAAAGGGTGACACGGTGACAGTGGTGACAGTGGGAAAGGGTGACATGGTGACAATGGGAAATGGTGACACTGTGACACTGGTGACAGTGGGAAAGGGTGACACTGTGACAATGGGAAATGGTGACACAGTGAAATTGGGACAATGGGAAAGGGTGACACTGTGACAGTGGTGACAGTGTGAATGGTGACACGGTGACACTGGTGACAATGTGAATGGTGACACGGTGACAGTGGTGACAATGGGAAAGGGTGACACGGTGACAGTGGCGACAGTGGGAAATGGTGACAGTGGTGACAATGGGAAATGGTGACAGTGGTGACAGTGGGAAATGGTGACACGGTGACAGTGGTGACAGTGGGAAATGGTGACACTGACAGTGGTGACAGTGGGAAATGGTGACACTGTGAAATTGGGACAATGGGAAATGGTGACAGTGTGACAATGGGAAATGGTGACATGGTGACACAGTGACAGTGGTGACAATGGGAAATGGTGACACAGTGACAGTGGTGACAATGGGAGATGGTGACAATGGGAAATGGTGACACTGTGACAGTGGTGACAGTGGGAAATGGTGACAATGGGACAGTGTCCCCAAGGAAGGAGGTGGCTCTGGGATCTCCCAGCTGAGCAGGTTCCTGTCATTGTCCCCAGGGAAGGAGGTGGCTCTGGGATCTCCCAGCTGAGCAGGGATGTCCCCAAGGAGGGAGGTGGCTCTGGGATCTGTCAGCTGGGCAGGTTCCTGTCCTTGTCCCCAGGGAAGGAGGTGGCTCTGGGATCTCCCAGTTGGACAGGGATGTCCCCAAGGAAGGAGGTGGCTCTGGGATCTCCCAGTTGGACAGGGATGTCCCCAGGGAAGGAGGTGGCTCTGGGATCTCCCATTTGGACAGGGATGTCCCCAAGGAAGGAGGTGGCTCTGGGATGGCCCAGCTGAGCAGGTTCCTGTCCTTGTCCCCAAGGAAGGAGGTGGCTCTGGGATCTCCCATTTGAGCAGGGATGTCCCCAGGGAAGGAGGTGGCTCTGGGATCTCCCATTTGGGCAGGGATGTCCCCAAGGAAGGAGGTGGCTCTGGGATCTCCCAGCTGAGCAGGTTCCTGTCCTTGTCCCCAAGGAAGGAGGTGGCTCTGGGATCTCCAGCTGGGCAGGTTCCTGTCCTGTCCCCAAGGAAGGAGGTGGCTCTGGGATCTGTCAACTGAGCAGGTTCCTGTCCCTGTCCCCAAGAAAGGAGGTGGCTCTGGGATCTCCCTCCCCTGCTGCTGCTCCAGCCCCTTGCCAGCCCTGTGCCAGCTCAGTGTGAATTGTGCCCTTTAGTGGCACCTGGCTCCTGATGCCACAGGATTGTCCATCCCTCCCTGACCTCCTTTCTGCCTAATTCCTGGCCAGCATTTGCCTAATGGGATGAGTGGAGCAGATCCTGCAATCTGGGTCAAGTCCTTCATCCCCCTGGGGCTCCTGTTGTGTTTTCTGGGGGTGACTGAGCAGCAATTTCACATCCACTGGGGCTTTCTGGGGCTGACCCGCTTGTGTGCCAGGCTGGCATTGCAGGGTGATGCCCTGCTGGCAGCAGATGGGCAGCTTCTCCCACCTCCATGGTGGCTGCAGCTGGAATTCCCTCCTGGATGTGAGGCTGAGGTGGAACCAGATGATCAGGTTTTGCTGCCTGGCCTTGCAGAGCTTGTCTGAGCCAGGTGGGAGCTGCTCAGCTGCTGTGCATTCGTGGATTCAGGAAGTTGAGGGTCTGTTTCCAGCAAGGAACACGAGTGGAAGTGCTGGTTGTGTTTATAACATCAGTTTTAAATCCCTCTTTGCATAAGGGAATAACCAATAGGAGGAATTCCAAAGTGCATTTTTGCCAAAGCTTTCCTGGGCTGAGGTTCTTCACATCCAGCTGTGGGGGATCTCTGGATTAAACCTTGATGGGCTGATAAAAACACCCCCAAACAACCCCATTAAACCTTGATGGGCTGATAAAAACACCTCCAGAAAACCCCAGCCACTTCAAACACAGGTTTTAATTGTGAACACTGGCATGATCCAGGTTTATGTGGGCAGCACTTGCATCACTCAGAG